AGACAGCGAGAGACACAGACAGACAGACAGAGACAGAGAGAGACCCAGACAGAGAGAGACACGCATATAAAGGATTTATAGTGACAAACGTTTTTACGGGTTAATTTTTTGAGCGGTCGAGGTCACAAGACGGAACGGGAGCGGCGGCGGCGGCGCGAGGAGCGCGAGAGACAGCGCAGAAAGCCGACGGAGAAGCACTCGGGCCAGACACAAGCATTAGCTGCCAAGGCACCAGCACCAGCAGGGAAAACTCTCAAGAGCCATGGCTACGCACCGTCCTCGAGTGCGCCCGCCTGGACGGGCGGCGACGCGGGCCCCGGCCGACCCCGTGTGTGCCCGCACCGTCACCTCGTACGGGCCCGCTCGCTCAGCCCCGCAGCGTCACGCTCCTCCTCTCCGCTCTGCAGCGGCGTCTGGCGCCAGCCACCAACCCCGCTCGGCCGCCCTCCCGAGCCGTCCTCCCCGGCCTCCCCGTCCTTCCCGTCGTCCCCCCTCCCCGAGCCTTCTGCGTCGGGGTGCGTGCGCCGCGCCTTGGCCAGTGCGGCAGCTTCCTGTTAGGCGACCGTGTAGCCCGTGATGGTGCCGTGCCGGCCGTGTGCGTGGCGGCGGCTCCCAGCTGACCAGCACGCTGCCGGGGCTCAGGGAGACGCACGACGTGTTTTGTGGGGGTGCCCGAGGGGGCTGTGGGTCGGGTTGGATTGTGGTGGAGGTGACAGGGGCGAGGGGGGTAATGGGGAGAAACATCAGAAACCGCTGCGACATGGATGTGAATAACCCAGGGGGTGAAAAACGCAAGTTAGTCAATGACTCGTGCTGCAAAGCGGGAGCTTTACAATTCCAATGATGTGAAAAAAAAAAACATTAAAACCTCCGTAGGCGTGGGGGGGTACGCGCGCGTACCTGACTGCTTGGTGCGCTCCGTGACCGTGAAGGTGGCGGGGCCCAGCCCGGCGCGGGAGCGCGCCGACAGCTGGAAGCGGTAGAACGGTGTCGGGCTGCAGGCGCTCGAGCAGGAACGTCACGGCGGAAGGCTCCAGCGTCACCACCTCCTGGCGAGCGATCAACGGCAAGGCGGAGGTTGCGACGGTCACTGTCGTCAATCGTCAGCGGCGTCGTCGTCGTCATTGTCCGCATCACGAGCGGGTTGTCCGATTAGCGAACAGGGTTCACATACAAACATCTTTTAATCATCACCACTGCCATTATCATAATCGTCGTCGTTATTGTCATTGGCGTCGTCGTCACCATCATCATTGTTGTTATCATCATCGTCGCCGTCGTCACTATTGTCTTCACTTAATTGCACTTTTGAGTGTGTGGTCTCCCGTGTAAAAATAATTGATAATAACAGAGCCCTCAATTTCCCCATCAGAGCTTCACCGAATCGCAAGACTCATCCACAGGGGTGGGGCTGGGGTGGGGAGGGGCTGGGTGGGGGTGGGAGGGGTGGGGCTGGGTGGGGAGGGTGGGGTGGGGCTGGGTGGGGAGGGGCTGGGTGGGGGGGTGGGAGGGGTGGGGCTGGGTGGGGAGGGTGGGGTGGGGCTGGGTGGGGAGTGGCTGGGTGGGGTGGGGCGAGGTGGGGGTGGATGGGGTGGGGCTGGGTGGGGAGGGGCTGGTCACCCCGTGGTGCCCTTATAAAACTCAACGTTTCACCTACTCACGCCGGCTTGTGCCCGCCCTCACAGTCGGGCATATTTGCGGAATACACCACGCCGCCGTTGACCCTGCAGGCCATTGACCGAGCAACCCGACGTTCCTACCAGCTCCCTCCGCAGGACAATGTGTTAATCGGCACTCCCCATTCTGTTAGCGGGTAGCTGCCCCTTCTCGTCAACATGGGGCAGAAGCGCCACCACGCCAGGGAGTCGACGACAATCCCTGGGATGGGGGACCCCGGGAGGGGGGACCGGGGGATGATGTCACCTTCCAGAAAGTTCTGGAAGGGAGGGCGTGTCTAGGGCGGAGCAAGCCACGAAGCAGGGGGGTGATGTCACCTTCCAGAAAGTTCTGGGAGGGAGGGCGTGTCTAGGGCGGAGCAAGCCACGGAGCAGGGGGATGATGTCACCTTCCAGAAAGTTCTGGAAGGGAGGGCGTGTCTAGGGCGGAGCAAGCCACGGAGCAGGGGGATGATGTCACCTTCCAGAAAGTTCTGGAAGGGAGGGCGTGTCTAGGGCGGAGCAAGCCACGGAGCAGGGGGATGATGTCACCTTCCAGAAAGTTCTGGAAGGGAGGGCGTGTCTAGGGCGGAGCAAGCCACGGAGCAGGGGGATGATGTCACCTTCCAGAAAGTTCTGGGAGGGAGGGCGTGTCTAGGGCGGAGCAAGCCACGGAGCAGGGGGATGATGTCACCTTCCAGAAAGTTCTGGAAGGGAGGGCGTGTCTAGGGCGGAGCAAGCCACGAAGCAGGGGGATGATGTCACCTTCCAGGAAGTTCTGGAAGGGAGGGCGTGTCTAGGGCGGAGCAAGCCACGAAGCAGGGGGGTGATGTCACCTTCCAGAAAGTTCTGGGAGGGAGGGCGTGTCTAGGGCGGAGCAAGCCACGGAGCAGGGGGATGATGTCACCTTCCAGAAAGTTCTGGAAGGGAGGGCGTGTCTAGGGCGGAGCAAGCCACGAAGCAGGGGGATGATGTCACCTTCCAGGAAGTTTTGGGAGGGAGGGCGTGTCTAGGGCGGAGCAAGCCACGGAGCAGTACACAAGCCGGACCTCTCAAGGGTCCGGCTCAGTCGTCACACCGGTGCTAAGAAGGGGCTGGACTAGGAGCCTGGACTCCAGGCTCTACTGCCCTTCTCAGGGCCGGGGGGTCTGAGTGGAGTGTGGTCGGTGGTGAGACCCTGGGGGACCCCCCTCTCACGTCCTTCTCAGGGCCGGGGGGTCTGAGTGGAGTGTGGTCGGTGGTGAGACCCTGGGGGCATCCCCTCTCACGACGTCCTTCTCAGGGCCGGGGGGTCTGAGCGGAACCAGAGGTCAGGACTCGTACGTGTAGCCCGGAGGCCGTTCACCTCCGTGGGTGTCGGGTGGAAGGGGCCGTTACCCCTTCGTGTCAGGGACCTGCACCCAGATTGTGAATCAATATCGTGTTGCCTCGCAACAAGAAGAAGTTCTCACATTATGTACCCACTGCAATAGGACACCGTGTGAGTGTGTGTACGATGGCAAAGTCCACGCGTCTCTACAACGACAGCACCAACCTTCAAGGTGCATCTAATGAACGGGGGTTGTCTCGACGATTGGACCTCCCCCTGTGAGTGTGGCCGATGGAACAACCCACACACCTCCTCCTCCTTGTCGTTGCTGTTGTCCCCCCCGTGGCGGACGTAGAGCTCGTAGCTGGCGACGGCGCCGTGGTGCGGAGGGGTCCAGCGTAACAGAATGCTCGATTCGGACACCGCTTCTGCTGTCAGCTTCACCGGCTGGACAGGAGGAGCTGTGGGACAAAAAGTCATCACGTACAAATGTCTGTTATTTAACAACGTGTGTGACGTACAGGGATTCTGCCGTGGCAAGATGTTGAGTTTATCATCATCAGCACAATCCATGTAGGTGTCCACTGCAGTTTCGTCATGTGGTCAGACAGAGGAAAGTGGAAACATTTTCACGTATATGCATACTCCACTTGAAATCCAGGTCACCGGTTCCATATCTCGAGTTCGACAGCTGAAGCCATGGGCAAGTCCAACCAATGTTTGAACCTGTTCTGGGCCTCATACCGCAATGATATTTTGCAAAATGGATGTTTTCATTAACGTGCATCTCACAAGATTACATTCGTGTTTACACATACGCAGCAGTATTAAAGGTATACACCGCAGTTAGTCAGTGCCATATCGTGTGTGCAGTGGGGTCCAGTGCAAGTCCCCCTCCCTCTTCTAAGCCGTCTGGGCAGCATCACAAACAACCTGGCCACCATTACCCCTCTAGAGGGCGTCTCCTTCTCGAAGCGGCGGCCCTTCGACGCTTGCTTTCCCTAGCGTCGCCACGCCGCGTGTGCGCGCACGTGTGCTCCTTGCCTGCGACGGTGGTCTCGACGTAGATCTTGTCGGACAAGGGCCCGTCGCCAGCGGACGTGAAGGCGAGCATGCGAAGCACGTGCGGTGTGTTGGGCGCCAGGCCGCCCAACAAGGCGAAAAAGTCATCGCCGCCGACGACGCTCTCCAGCCAGGTGCTCTCGGGCCGCACGGGTTCGACGGCGCAGTAGACGCGGTAGCCACGGATCACCCCGTTGGGCACCTTGGGCTGGCGCCACGCTATCAGCAGGATGGGGGTGCGGCCCAGCATGTACGCGTGCACGTTGCGCGGCGGGCCCGACGGCGCCTGTTCGCCGGTGCGCGCCAATGCCGGCGGGCTGGGCGGCCCGCGCCCCATCCCGGTCACCGCCAGCACCCGCAGCTCGTACATCGAGTCGGGCTCCAGGCCCGCGAGCGTGTGCTGCGTGTCGGGCACGGCGTCCGTCTCCCGGAAGGGGCCCTCCGACGATTGCAGCTTGTACTGCGGCGACAGCGGGGTTGGGGGGCAGGCGGGCGGTGGTGGAGATCGCTCGCTCGACGCACGCGTTTATATCCGCGTAAGATGCGCAGGCGCCGGGGTCGAATTTCACAGCAAGATAAGCACCGCTGCACTACCGCTTCCCACCACAACCGCATACCTAACAACAACAACAACCGCCATTCGCCACTAAGTGGCGGTGACGTCACCACGACGCTTGTGCCAGGCCAAGTGCACCTTGAGGCTACCACGTGAAGTGTCGAACGCCCGCTGGCAGGAGGTCATACCTAACACACGCGCGCACACACACTGCCTTTGCAACTCGAGCATACGGCTGTATCCGCGCGCCCGCAGCACAGAAGATGAAGTCGGTAACTTTTTGGCTGGGTAATGTAGGAATCGTAACTGAGAAACCATCGAGTTTCCTGCGGATTCATCTTCTTGGTTCTTTCGGTAAAGTCACGTAGAATGGAAGTAATAAAATAATAAAAATAAAACATCATAAAATAATTCTCACGACGTTTCGGCCACAACGCAAGCAACCGTCTTCAGGTGAAGAACAGGTCTGTCGAGAAGACAGCATCTGAATGACTTTCCGACAGACCTGTTCTTCACCTGAGGACGGCTGCTTGCGTTGTGGCCGAAACGTCGTGAGAATTGTATTTTATGTTTTATTTTTATTATTGTATTACTTCCCTTCTACGTGACTTTACCGAAAGATGAATCCCTGCAGTCACGAAAGCTTTAAATAGAATTTTTTCCTGCGGATGTTAACTACCTCGCCTGCTATGAATGAGGGAGGGTTCGATCCTGACCCTGACGCCTGCTGCTGCTGTATATTTGGAATTTGCGTGTCTCCGTCACGGTGGTCGCGTGGATTTTTCTCCGGGTCCTCCGGTTTTTCCCTCCACATTTAGAATCGGCGTGCGTTCAAGAGCACTTGGCCGCTATACATTTCAAGCCACTTCGCTGAACTATCATCCGTGACCAGGTCACTTCTGAAAAAGAGCTATACAGCTCAGTGGGCTAAACTCCAAACATACAGGCGTCAGGGCCGGCATGGAAACCACGTTTCACCAGCAGGATGCCCAATGGTTCGGCGTGCTGCAAGCCGTCCTCACCTGGATGACGTAGAAGAGGACAGGGTCAGGGCCGAGCAAGTCCCATGTCAGCGTCACGCTGGTCGACGTCGTCTCCGTCACCGACAAGCCCAGGGTCGTCGGCAGGCCTGGGGGAGGTGGGCAGGGTAGAGGGGGGCGGTGGGGGGTGATGGAGCGGTGGTGAATCGGATAAGGGAGAGGCAATTGGCTACGATTGGCCAGTTGGAGATAGGGTCAGAATGCAGAGTTGGGACATGGATGAGGAGGGAATTAATTTCCGTTGTGTGCAATGTTTGTTGTGATTAATCATACAAACACAAGATCCAGGTCCGATTCAACACAGTACAGACATTCTAGATTTGAAGCTTTCGTGACTGCAAGGATTCATACTCTTAGTTCTATCGGTAAAGTCACCATGTAGGTGAAAAAAGAAATTAAAATTTATAAAAATAAAGCAATAAAAATCACGACGTTTCGGAGGCAACACAAGTCTCCGTCTTCAGGTGAAGCCGTCACAGGAAAATATCTGTATCAAGTGATGAAAAATATCTGTATCAAGTGATGAAAAATATCTGTGTCAAGTGATGAAAAATATCTGTATCAAGTGATGAAAAATATCTGTATCAAGTATCACTTGATACAGATATTTTGCTGTGACGGTTCTGCCTGAAGACGGAAGCTTGTGTTGCCTCCGAAACGTCGTGATTTTTATTCTTTTATTTTTATTAATTTTTATTTAATTTTTTACCTACATGGTGACTTTACCGAAAAAACTAAGAGTACAGTACATACAATTCGTGATCTGATCCCATCTGTGAAGGATGTGATCCCTGACACGCAATACCCCGGCGTCTACAAACCAAGCTGTGTCTGCAGCAGTAGTTACATTGGGGAAACTAAGCGACATTTCTCAGACCGTGTTCGCGAACACAAGGCGGATCTGAAACACGGTAGGACCAACACCTCAGCCGTGGCCGATCATCGTTTTAACGCTGTGGTGGGCTCACACGTGACATTGATTTCTCCAAGACGAAGGTACTCTGCAAACCCATTGGCTATCAGCAAACATTTGTTCATGAAGCCATCCAGATATAGAAACAGACACAATTTGAACCGAGAAGATGGGGGTACAAACTGAGCAATCATTGTAATGACGTTATTAACCAGGTAAAGTCATCACTGGCTGCGATGCTTCCATTCCGACTCTCTGAGTTACATTACCTTGTTAAATGTCTTCACATTAACCGGCTAAATGTCTCACTAACACAGCTACTGCTCATAATCAACGTTTTTGGGGGTTAGATCGCGTTATTTATAAATGTGTCGTAACCCTCCACCACCCGACACGGCCAATCAGTAAAAAAGTGTCACGTTGACAAAAGACAATTAGTTCACTGCTTTAGCCCACCGGTGTGTTGAAGCGTGAAACCACAACAATTTACAATTTGAGTAGCACGACGTTTCGCTGGTAATTGCATCCAGCATCATCGGGCAATTCGCCAGAATGGTGAGGCTCTGCTCTGTCTCCCGTTCTTATATAGAGCAGCAGCAGCAGGGTGACGTAATCATTAACTCATTAACTCATCAGGTGCCAAGATTCAAGGGGGGTTATTGTAATTATATACTAGATTAGTAATCAGGCTATTGTTACGATGCGAGTTGTAGATTAGTAATCATTTGGAATGTGTTTTATTGTGATTATGCTACATTAGTAATCAGTGTTTGTTTCTGATTGGCCGTGTCGGGTGGTGGAGGGTTACGACACATTTATAAATAACGCGATCTAAACCCAACAACGTTGATTATGAATATTGGTCGCGAAAGCCTGCTACGTGTTAAACAGCTACTGCTCCCTTCTCCTTGATGTTCAAGCGGCTGAATGTCTCTCATTAACACAGCCGCGGCTGCGGGAGCAGTATGTTTTTTATCAATCTGTCCGCCGCTCGCTCCGCTCCACGCGAGCACACACAGTGCTCGTGATGAATCACGACTATTCTTTGTTCTTTCGGTAAAGTCACGTATAAAGATATAATAATAATAAATTAAATAATAGCTTATTACGACGTTTCGATTGCAACACAACCAATCATCATCAGGTATAGTGAAATAGCGACATAAAATCTAACCAGAAAACTATAGACAGACATATAAGCAGACAGATATCACCAAGATACACAGAGAGAGTGACACAGGTACAGAGAGGGAGATTGTCTCTGTGGGGTGGCCTTAAATAGACAGGGGGGGGGGGCGGAGGCAGAGAGAGGGAGGGGGTTAGAGTCAAAATTTACATGTCAATGAGTACGAAGAGACGCGTAGTAAAGTACGCAGGCTTAGAGGGAGAAAGAACACACTAAATTAAATAACCTAGCAAAGTATCGAAATGTTACGTAAAACGACACAGAGTTAAGAATGAATCACAATCTCCGTGGCCGCCTCTGCCTTCTCGCTCCGCTTGGGCTGCTCAAAAGCGGTTGTGTCTCGTGTGATGATGGTTAAGGCGGTAGGGGCTCTCCGACTCTCGTGCGTGTTTCGTGCGACACCAGGCCACGTCGCATCCAGTCACGCTCCAATACACCCTCCGTTGGATAGATGTTGGAGAGGTGTTTTTTTTTTAAGACGTAGGCACAAAACGACGCGTCGTTTACCAAAATGTTTAAAATACGGTCGGCCACATCGTTAGGGTAAACATCCTAGAACATATCTTCTTGGTTCTTTCGGTAAAGTCACGTAGAATGGAAATAATAAAATAAAATAAATAAAACATAATAAAATACAATTCTCACGACGTTTCGGCCACAACGCAAGCAGCCGTCCTCAGGTGGAGAATAGGTCTGTCGGGGAGACAGAGTCTGAATGACCTGTTCTCCACCTGAGGACTGCTGCTTGCATTGTGGCCGAAACGTCGTGAAAAATATGTAAATATTTTTTTATTTTTTTATTGTTTTATTATTTCCATTCTACGTGCCTTTACCAAAAGAACCAAGAAAATGAATCCCTGCAGTCACGAAAGCTTTACATCGAAAAAAAAAAGATGTAGATGATGATGTTGATGATGTTGATGATGTTGATGATGATGATGTTGATTATTAATGTTAATGATGATGATGTTAATGATGATGATGTGAATGACTGTCTTCTCGACAGACCTGTTCTCCACCTGAGGACGGCTGCTTGCGTTGTGGCCGAAACGTCGTGAGAATTATCTTATTATGTTTTATTTTTATTATTTTATTACTTCCCTTCTACGTGACTTTACCGAAAGAACCAAGAAGATGAATCAGACAAGTGACTGTGTGACGGGGGGGGGGGTGAGAAATGTGACGTCACATCAAAATACGCACTACAATGACAATAGTTTAAAGCGATTTGAAGCATGTTTTATTTGGGGGGGGGGGGGCAGAGCTTTGTGACGTCATATTTGAGGGGGGGGGGTCTGACTTTTTGTGACGCCGAGTGACGAAGGGGGGGGGGGGTAAAAAAAGTCTAAAATCGCGTGATGTCATTTATGGGCGGCCCCTTGGCAGAATTCCCAATCAAGCTGCACAAGATTTGCTGATGTGCATGGACGTGTGTGTGTCTGAGTGTGTTAGTGTGTTTGTGTGTCTGTGTGTCTGTGTGTATGTCTGTGTGTGTGTCTGAGTGTGTTAGTGTGTGTGTCTGAGTGTATGAGTGTGTGTGTGTGTATATGAGTGTGTGTGTGTGTCTGAGTGTGTTAGTGTGTGTGTGTCTGAGTGTGTTAGTGTGTGTATGAGTGTGTGTGTCTGAGTGTGTGTGTGTGTGTCTGTGTGTGTATGTCTGTGTGTGTGTGTGTGTCTGAGTGTGTTAGTGTGTGTGTGTGTATGAGTGTGTGTGTGTATGAGTGTGTGTGTATCTGAGTGGGTTAGTGTGTGTCTGAGTGTGTGTGTGTATGAGTGTGTGTGTGTGTGTTGGGAGCGGTGGTGTAGCGATTAGCAAGCTGCACTACGAACCCAGCCACAGAGTTCCATTCCCACTCACGGCCAACACCAGTGACAATCATCTGAATCGGTCCCGGGCCTCCACTAGGTGGACTCAGCCTCAAACGAGTACCTGGTGTGGTGTGTAAACATTGTCACTGGGGAGACAAAGGCGGCCAGGCGTGGTGCTGGCCACCCACCCCCTCGTGTGCCGTGCCGGGCTTCATTAGGTGCTCGCTAACAGCACTTGCCCCAACAGTCTGTTGAGGCTACACGGGGGATCTTTGTCTTTGGGCGAGCAGAGACAGGCAGGCATGGGGGCAATGGAGAAGGCGGCAATGGAGACGTTCAGACAGGGAGACAGACGGAGTGGCCGGGAGACTGACAGAGACCGCCGGAGGCTCCAGACAGACTTCAGACACAGGCAGAGACGAGACAACCATCAGACAGACAGGAGGAGGTGGAGGAGGAGGATAGACAGATGGCAATGCGACACGCACGTGCGGAAAAGCTCGTCACAACCAGTTAATAATCAGCAGGAGAAATCACTCCGCAGAAATTGGTCCTGTAAAAATTAACCCGTAAAAATAAAGTTTTTCACTATAAATCTCCTTTATATGCGTGGCATCGGTTTTATTTTATTATTCATTTCTGTTTTTCTGGAGTAAGAGTTTCATTTTTATCACATTGGTATTTTAAATTAAATATGAAAAAAAAAAATTCCTAAAAATTGGAAAATTTAGGAAAAAATTTTTCAGGAAAATAAATTGTCACGCAACAACGAGTCTGTGTGCAAAATGTCAGCTCGATTGGATCACGGGAAGTGGGTTAAAAAACGACCGAAAGATTTGCACGGTCGTAAGCAAGCAAGTGTAGAGGTGTAATTGCGCATGTCTACGAATGTTGAGGTGTGATTATGCATGGCCACGGATGGCCAACAAACACAAGGGGCGGGGTTACGGCCGTACACAAGGGTGGCGCTCGCACCGACGTCCGCATGTGTATCCCCCACGGGCCCCCCCCTTGGGGGCAAGTCCTATAAAAGGTGATGAGCCGAAAGGCTCGGGAGTCGGGACTCAGCTATAACCAGAGAAGACGGAAGACCAGCTAGTGTAGGCCCCAGAGCTCCCCTGGCTCGCTGTCCTTATAAGGGCCGACCAGGGCAAGCCGGTGGCGTGGCCCCGAGAGCCCAG